GCGCATGATGAAGGACAAGAAGCGTTATGTCCTGGACGTTTGGTCCTGATTTTGAGACCGCCCCTTTTGATCGCCCAAGTCTGGTCTTGGTTTTGAGACAGCACCTTGATCATCGACATGTTTTGTTTTTTTCTTTTGTGTGTGTGTGTGAAGCAAGAGGCATTTTTGAGGAAGAAAGAGGAAGAATTTTTTTCAGGATTTTTCTTGGTTTTGAGACAGCCCGTTGATCATCGACGTATTTTTTTTTCCTTTGTGTGTGTGAAGCAAGAGGGATTTTTGAGGAAGAGGAAGAACGTATTCCAGGATTTTTCTTGGTTTTGAGACAGCCCTTGATCATCGACATCGTTTTTTTTTTTTTTTCGTGTGTGAAGAAAGAGGGATTTTTGTGAGGGAGGAGAAGGAACGTTTCCAGGATTTTTGTTATTTTCCTGGGATCTCAACGTGCGGAGAGGCGGCTTTTGGCTGCTTGGGGTGAGGGAGAGATGCTCTGGTTGCTCGGGAAGGGCATTCGGGTCGGGTGTTGCGTTAAATATCAAGCCGGGGGGAAGGCGTGTGAGGTTGTTCTGTCGAGTTTGTGTACACCTACGTACGTGGCGCTGTGGCGAGTGTGCGACTTCGAAGCGCAGGTGCAAGCGCACGCGTAAACATAATGACGCTTTCCTTTTTCTGCTGTTTGTTGGCGACGACCGAAGAAGCCCAGCCTGCTTGCTTTTGTGCTTTTTTGCGGTGATGATCGATCGAAATAGAATAATACCTCGTCGTCGCCGTAGGTTTGACGACGACGGTGTTCCGGGTGCGTGGTCTTCTCTGTCACTACCCTCGAAGTCAGAAATGGCGCCGATGCGGATACCGTATATGCATACGATGATACCTAACGTCTTGGCTTTTAGTATTTGGTCGCCGGGTGTGTTGTTGGGTGGAGGCGTGTAGTATCTTGTGCCGTCCTACTACGCGATCTTGGAGTGTTTTTTTTTTTTCGGTCTCATGTTGACCGGTACAGTTATCACCACCGGGTTTGGTGCTGTGTGTTATTTGGGGGGGGGGTGTTATCTTGTGGCGCATGCGGTACTCCCTGTTCGTCTCGCCAGCCTGACCCCCTCGACAAGGCTCCCGTTCAAGCTGCTTACTGCTGTTGTAGAACTCTTCTTTGAACCTTCTTCGAGATGCTTCTATTGTGTTTCTTCGAGTGGCAAGAAGCTGCCCGTGTTGCAGTTCGATCGGTGATGCGCAGATAAAAAGGGAAAGCCTCCTACTAAAATTGGTGATGCCGGACTTTTTTTCTCTGGGGTGCTCTAGAAAGCCGTGCCTACGTTTAACGGTTTGCCGCAGTTTCGCTTGGGGCGTTGGGAATGGTTGTGGCGCTTGAGAGGAGTTGCTGTTACTCTCCGCCAGAAAAGAATAGCCCACTAGAACCCCTACGCAGCATGAGTTACCGGTCACGACGGAAGACATCCCGTCCCTTAGACCCGTACAAGGTACTCAACAGAGCTCGGAACGGTTCTCTGAGAAGATGGCACGGGTAGAGGCGGCAGCAGCATCAGCGGCAGCAATAGCAGCAGTACCAACCGCGGAACTAGAAGCTTAACCGACAAAAGGGCAAATCGTGCTATTTGTGGTAGCAGATTAGAGGGAGGAGGCGGTTTAGCTCGAGAAGAGGGGTACCGTAAAGATGCGGTGGACGTGTTGGGGTAGGCGTCGTGCACATTGTGCCTTTTCTATGGCATAGCATTGACGGCTTCGAGGGTGGGGCAGATGTACCTTTTCCATGGCATAGCGTTGACGGCTTGGAGGCTGGGGTAGATGTACCTACCTGTTGTTTGGCATGGTATTGACGGATTGGGGACTGAGGCAGGTGTGTGGGTATTGCGATTGTGGGTAGCGGGTGAAGAGAACTGCTGTAGCACGCTTCTATGGGCTGGCCATGCCATGGTGGTATGTGTTAAGGGCTTTGCTTGAGGTTACTCTTAGCCGCCGCGTGTCTGATTGAGGTATGCCGGGAGTAGAGACAAGAGTGTGTGTTTTGTGCTTCGTGTGCGATTGGCCGCAGCAGTGGGCCCGAAAAAGTGCACACATTTTTGCGAATTAATTGGAACCGGACTTGTGGTGCAATACTCGCGTGGGAGGTACACCGCGCAGCCGGGAGTAGAGCGATAATATGGGGTGGAACCGTTATTGTCCGGGATGGGAGAGAGAGTGACGGGGAGAGGGTGGAGAAGATTGTAGGATAGAGATCGTCGGTGGGTCCAAAGAGCAACAGCGCGGCTACCTACTGCAGGCACCGGGACCAGCACTAGAACCAATCGCTCCGACACAAAGCTCCCCCTCCCTGCTGTGTCTCACGACGATTTTTCTAGGTGGAGGAGGAAGGGCGACGCCGAATGAATGGCGATTGGTTCTTTGCGGGGTCACACGTGACGGCGGCGGCGACGGCGGCGGTGTAGTAGTGCTGCATGTTCTTCGATCCAGCGGCTAGGAAGGGCCGGTGGCGACGGAGCGATTCGGTCGCGAAGCATCATCGCCCCTACTGGGTTGGAAATGATCTGTGGCGTGGTTGGGGGTAGCGTACAGAAAATATTTGCAGCGTTTTTTCCAAAAAAGAGTACCGAAAAACACTGTTTTCCTGTTTTTTGCGCGAGACGCACCCGAGCACCGTTCTTTTTTCTTTTCTTTTCGCCCAACACAAGTGAAAATGGTGTCAGCAGACATGCAGCATGTCGGTGCGGATGGTCCTAACGTTGGAAGCAGTATCAGCGTGCCCATATGATTTGTGGAAAAAGCTGCTTGCAATCCTCTTCTCGCTGATTGAATTGGGGCTATTGAGACCTTCAGCTTGTCCATTGTTTTACGCTCTCTGCATACTTCGCAATATATGCGTATCAGCTGTACTTGCAAGGACATGGACGCCACACCAGCTCAGCATTTTGTCCGTACGTTGATCCCGGGCACTCCAGACTGAAAATTCCAAGTTTTGACTACTACCGTAAAATATCCCGTTCCGACGGTCAACTGACCGGATACATGTTCCGTGAAAGGAGAGTGATAATACGATGAGAACAAAGAAACAAAATACTGCTCCCCGGCCTTCCTTCAAATTACCGATCGGTGCATCTTTTAAACACAGCAACGGCGTACCAAGTACGTAACAGCCAGATGAGGCTCCACACCTACATACATCAGCACGTTTCAGGAGCTCACTTCTAGCACATAAAGCCTTGCATGGATACTATACGTTTTTTGGCAGGGGGGCAAACGAAAGAGACTTATCGAAGCGAAGTAGTATGCTAGGTCGCCCAAAACAGCACGCTACAGAGTGCCTTCAACGAGAGTTCCGAAGTCATGCCGAAAAATTGCGAGAAGATAAAAGCGTGTATGCATACTTTCGGGTACGCTCTGGCTTTCAGCTCGGATATCCGCCGGAGAAAGAGTGGTCGCGAGCTAGGGCTGGCAGTGCGTATGGAGGTGGCGTGGAGGGTGGTGTGTGGTGGAGGTTGATGCACAAGATGCAAGACACACCACAACCTCTGTAGCGGCGATTTGATTGGCTGGTTTGAATTTGGCCGAATCGGTAGCGCCGCATCTCCGGAGAATGCTGCATCAAGAGTTTTTTTTTTTCGGTCGAAAGCTCCCGTGCGCCGTTTGGCTCTCTCTCCACACACACAAACGATACCAGCTCACAAAACAACATCATCACGTGACAAACTCGAGACCTCTGGCCCTCCACCGGTAGTGACGAGACTGTTTTCGCGTGGGAAATCAACACCTTCGGGTGTAAAGGCAAGTACCAGGGATGTGAGGGGCATCCATGGCATGCAATGTGTGCATATGTGAGAGGATTGTTGGCAGGCGGGATCCGATCCCGATGATTCGACGTGAATAAGGTGCAGATCTCAGAGGGAGTGACGAATAGAGGTAGCAGCAGATATGTGGAAGCCATGTTCTTCTTCGTCTACGCGTCGTCTTGTAGCGCTGCATCGGGCGTGCGTGGTAAACGAGTCGGGCGAGAGCCGTAGCTGATGATGTAGGATCCACAGCCGGCACATCCGTGTGGTGCCCGTTGCTCAGCTTGACCACTTTTGGTTGAGCAATCAAGCCAACGAAACCCGCTTTCTCGTATCCTACACGCACCCGCATGGCCCGGGGGGATATCCCTGAGCCTCCGAAACGCACGGGTGGGTAGGGCGGTGTCAGTTGTTTCAAGCCCGGGTTAATTACACACTTTTGCATCGTTTCTCGGGACTGGCATGCGTACACATAGTCTATGCCTTTCTCCCTCGAATACCCCTGAAGCCTTCGTCCCCGCCGGAGTACCGCGATCGCAATGCTGGCTCATGCGTTTAGATCGTTTAGGTGGATGTCCCGACGGCGAACTTGACAGACAACGGCTGTCGCGGTCGGAATTATTTGTGGACAGGATATCCAGGTGTAGTCCAATAACTACAGTAGTTTCGACTGTTTCGTGCTCCTGTCTAGACATGAGTGAAAACCTGTACTTGGTCTGTCTTCGCCTACTGTGCCGCGTGATTCTAATCTCGCTACCCTCACCGTTCCGTGCTGCACCTGTCCTCTTCAGCAAAAATAGTATGGTGCTATTCAGCGCAGCGTTTGTGCTGATAGCTGTTGGCAGCGTGGTTGCGTGCCCGGTCGTGGTAGCGGTGTTGGGCGCATGCAACTGCTGCCTCCCGACGCCGAACGACACGTGAGTAACACTATGCATGCACTTTCCCTTCGATCGAATAGTCGGCGTCTCTATCCATTGGCCGTCGTTGTTGGGTGGGAAAAAGCTTTGGACCCTGTCGGGAGAGGGTAGTCCAAAGCTTGCTGTTGAAGAGCGGCACACATTCTCGAAATAGTTTCAGACCATGGGGATTTCCTTTTTTTCGAGATTGGCAGAGTGTTGTTCCTCGAGGATAATATTCGACGTAGCATTGCCGAGTGCAGTGGTGAAAGCCGCTTCGTCTTGCTCCGTGACATATATTTCCATGACCAACAGTCGCTCGGTGTGACAAGTTTTTCCACACACGCTTGTCTCGTTCCCATCCCGCGTTTTGAAACAAACCCTAAGAGTCTCATGCATGTGTGGCCCCGGTTGGAAAAGGGTCTTGAGAGGTGTAAAAATCGATGTCCATAGTACACGGAATGACAATACACTCGCATCTGTTGGCACTATGGTTCCCTGCCCCCCGGCCTCCCCCATTTCGTCATCCGGCAGTAATGTTATTCATCCCCGACGCTTCCTGCCGGTACATGAACCCCGTTGGGAGTAGAGGTCGCCTGAAACACTCGCTGTGCCTTGTCCTGACTAGGCACCGTTGCACGTAGACTTCCACCATGCCGTTATGTTGGACTTGATAAAGTTCGTATTCTTGCCCCGTTTACAGCAGAGAGGAAGACGACGACGTCGTGAATGACGCTGCGGACAACCAGGCCCTGGTGCTGCTAGCACCGCGCGCCCAGCCACTCTCGCCCGCCGCGATCAGACGAAGCGCCATGAACAACAACAACAACAACAACAACAACAACAACAGCAGCAGCAGCAGCAGCAGCAGCAGCAACAACAACAATAACAGCACCGGAGGCACGCTCGTTCTGCTCCAACTGCAGACGGGAAGGCAGGTCATTCGCATCGATTCGTTGGGGGCCGCTGTACCCCTGTACAACTGGGCAACGATCCGGCGTCCCCCGCAGCAGCGTGCTATGTTGCGCAGGATGCTGAAGCGGATCGTCTTGTCCCAAGACCAAGCGGCGCCCGCCGGGACCTCCTACAGCAGCAGCAGCAGCGGCGCCAGCAGCGGTGCCAGGGACCAGAGCACCCACACAAGCAAGGTTCTGGGTGCGGTCGCTAGCGCCGCTGCAGGTGTCGCCAGGTCAAAGCTCCTTACCTCCGCCGCTAAGCGCAACGGTGGTCCACTCCGCCGGGCAAGGACGACCATCACGATCGCCACGGCGACGGAGACGCTGCCGGCGCCCGTGCCGGTACCGGCAGCGGTGTTGAGCCTAGCCTCCCCGAAGCCCTCTAAGCCCTTCGCCCCCGTGCGCAAGACGACGGACATCAACGCCACCGATGCTCCCCTGCTGCTACTGACATCGTCGGAAACAAAGTCGACGGCCGTCCCTTCCCGCGGAAGGCCCACGTCTCCCCGGGCGCGCGTCGGGCGCCCGCCGTCCCCGCGTCGGTCGCCGCGATCGCCCTTGTCCCGCTCCCTATCCCCGCGACGCTCAGGAACAGCCGTGGGCGCGGCAGCGGTGGATGCTTCTTCTTGGTCCGCTGCTGCTCGGCCGGCCGCCTCGAGGGTGGGAGGGGATTTCAGCCCTGCTGTCGCGGATAAGGTACGTTTTAGGAGTTAACGTTCCCTTGATACGGGAAAAACGCTTGCGTGTCTTGTATCAAAACGTGTGCAACCCCACTATTTAGTCTCTCGGTACCGCCCGCGTTGGCGGCTCATGCTTTCCACAGTTCGTTTTCGTTTTCGAATCTCCTTCACTCCCTTCCTCGCTGCCCAATATCTTCCCTCCTCCCTTACCTTTCTCTCTCCTTCTTAAAGCATCAGGATGGCACTTGCAAGCACGGGTCGCGGGAAGTGGGTACCCTTGACGCTTCGGGCACGCCTCCGCTCACCCCGGCATCTCCCGTTCCCTCTCCTGCCGTAGCCATCTCCGCGGGCTCGAGCTCTTTCAACGCCCCCTTTTTCGGAAGCAGATACGGCCGCGACGACCATGACGGTGACCTCTCGGAGAAGGGTGACGAGGTCGGCCCCTCCCTCCCGCCGGCGCGTGACGTGAGTAACGTGGTTTAGAACGTAGTAGCTGTCTCGGAGTCTGTGAAACAAACATGCCTACCGTGGGGAAGTACAATAGCATTCGGGCGTTTGGCGCGCTGCGAGTGCAGGGTGCTAGATACTGCAGGATGTTACACAACGACACGATCGGTAAACGCCCCAGTATCCCTGCGATATGCAGCAGTGATTTTCCTTGGCAACAAAGCCCAAACGGTCACCTCGTGACGAACGCCCGACCGGACAGTTCTCCCCTAACCCCACACACCACCACAAACATGCCTCCCTACGCCACATCCGCTTCAACAGAACGGTGCCTCGCCCGCCGAGCACGGGGAGGTCCCGCCAGTCCGGGGATCCGGGGCCGGTACCCCCCTCAAGCAGGCCAAGCTTGTTGTCCCCGTCGACGAAGGCGAGAGAACGGAGACGGCGGCCGCGGCGCCGGTGGTGGCAAGGAGCAGCGGCGACGGTGACAACAAGAGACCACGGATAGACGTTGGGCACGGAGATTTTGGTCGCATCGTTAAGGGGGCTCAGCCCGGTGTGCTCAGGACCGCATTCATCACGAATGTGCGGCAGCGCCGGGAGGTGGCCGTGGGAGAAGCCTGCGCGCTGGTGCAGGCGGCCCGCGTCGCTCTCGGCGGAAGCGAGGGGTGCGCCGGGGCAAGATCGCCATTGCAAGAGATTGGCATTATCGGGGAAGGCTCGTTCGGCATCGTGGGCGGTGCCACCCACAGCTTCCTGCCGGGAGAGTTCGCGGTGAAGAGGCTGAAGGAGGTGAGAGGCCCCGCGGCCTGTTCGGGAAGCTGGTTGTGGACATGCCATCTACCACCGTTGTTGCCAGGGGTTGGGTGTAGGGTATTCCGGTGGTCGCAGAAAATACTCTGGAACAACAAAAACCGTTGTTCTGATACTTCCGCTACAGCGAGATTGCATAATATTTTGGGGGATGGGAAAAACAGGCGTTTTTTGCCGTACACGCTCAGGGCGGATCGGTAGCAGTGTTGGAACCACCGTTGCTACATCAAATATCACAACCACCCGTCCCACGCTGGCAATTGTGCACACCTGTTTGTGACCCCCAACCTGTTGCAGGGTGCGGACAAGAACGCGAGGTACTGCGCTCGCGTGGAGATGATCGTCATGGCGCGGTGAGATCATCACCAGTAGCACCAAGTCCAGGATAAGAGCGTGCCCGCACATTCAGCAACCCTGCTCTTGCCCGAGGCTCGTTTCTCCTGTTCCTTGGGGGAAATCCAGCCTCGGCTATATATAGGTTTTAGTGTAGGATTCTTGACTGAGCACCTGTACTTGTGGTAAAGGTTTTGTACTCTGCCATATCAATTGGTTTGGGCTCTGTCTCTCTTTACTGGTAATTTCTTCGGTGCGTGGCGCGTAGTGTAGGTCACCCAACGGCTTGCTGCAGTGCGTGTCTCGATTGCCGCGCGTGTTGCGTGCTGGTATGTTGTTGCCCCCCTTAAAGGTTCGCGGACGTGATTCCCAGTCCCCTTCTCGGGTACCTCCGGTAGGCATGCGACCGTCACATATTTCTCGTTTCGTGTGATTCAGGTGGGGGGGGGGTACTTCACATCGACACCTCCCATCACAAAGTGGCTTCCAGAACATGTGCTGCTACCATCGGAATACCGTACACCCAACCCCACGCAATCATGTGGTAGATGACATGCCCAGCACCAGCTTCCCCCGCCCTGTACAACCTTGCCGCACAGGCAGCAGGGCCTCTCACCTCCTTAAGCGCTTTCACGGCGAACTCTCCCGACAGGGACATGTGGCTGGCACCACCCCCCACGATGCCGGACGACCCTTCTCCGATAACGCCGCCGTCCTGCAATGGCGATCTTGCCCCGCCGCCGCCCTCGCTTCCGCCAAGAGCGATGCGGGCCGCCTGCACCAACGAGCAGGCTGCTCCAACCGTCGTCGCCCGGCGTTGACGTACGTTGCCGATGAACGCGGCCCTGATCTGACCGGGCTCGGCCCCCTTCACAATGGGAGTAAACTGCCTGAGCCCGACGTCTATACTTGACCATTTGTTGTTGCCGCCGCCGCCGCTGACAACAAAAGGTCAAGGATAGTCGTCGGGTTGAGAGAGTGTAGTCCCATCGTGAAGCAGGCCGAACCAGGTCAGATCAGGGCCGCGTTCATCCGCCAGGTACGTCAATGCCGGGCGACAGCGGTGGGAGAAGCCTGCTCGCTGGTGCAGGAGTCCCTCGTCGCTCTCGGCGGAAGCGAGGGCGGCGTCGGCGTCGGGAGCTCCCCATAGCAAAAGGGCGGCGTAACCAGAGAAGGGTCATTCGGCATCGTGAAGAGTGGTGCCGCAGCCACAGCTTCCTGCCGGGAGAGTTCGCCTACCAGAAGTACACGAGGAGGGGACTGGGAACTACAGTATGTCCGCAAATCTTTATTGAGACGGGTAGGGTTAGACGATCTCGACTGTCGCCGCGTGCATTGCGCGCTGTTCAGCGACGCAGCGGGCATTGACACACACACACACATGCCTCAGCTTATCTGCCATGGTCCAGCCGCCGTAGATGAGCACCTGCCCGAAGCCGCCATGCGCCCTGGGTAGAAAGATCGGCATGCCGACGGCCGCTGCCCGGTCGTCGATGGAGACTGCCCCGATGACGTTGC